CAGCAGAGCCCCAGCCCCGGAGACAGCCCCTGCTGCAACCAGGGGCTTGGCTGGTGGCCAGGGGCCCCCTCAGGGTGCAGCTGGAGGTGGCCCCTTTCCCACTGGGCCTCTGCAGCCCACCCAGCGTTGCCCAGCCCACTGGGCACTCAGAGGTGGGGGGGGGCGGTGCTGGGAGGTGTGGAGGAGACAGTCTGAGCAGAGGGCAGATCAGAGGTCAGCAGCACTACCAAGACAGCCCAGCTGCCCACCTCTGGGGCAAGGCTTGGAGGGAACCCCACCCCACCCCCCACGGCCCCCACAAAAGCGCTCAGGGAGCAGAAGCCCAGCTTGGCCCGTGACAGCCTGGGCTTAAAGAAGGGAGCCCTTGGGCTTCCCTGGTGGCACAGCGGTTAAGAATCTGCCTGCCAATGCAGGGGACACGGGTTCGAGCCCTGGTCCAGGAAGATCCCACATGCCACAGAGCAACTAAGCCCGTGAGCCACAACTACTGAGCCCACATGCCACAACTACTGAGACCGCATGCCACAACTACTGAAGCCTGCACGCCTAGAGCCTGTGCTCCACAAGAGAAGCCACCGCAATGAGAAGCCCGTGCACAAGAGCAGCCCCTGCTCACTGCAACTAGAGAAAAGCCCTCGCAGCAACCAAGACCCAAGACAGCCAAAAATAAATACATAAACAAATTTTAAAAAAAAAGAAGGGAGCCCTTGGGCCTGGGGGGACTGCGGGGCCCTGGAATGGGGGGGTCGGGTCTCTGCTTGGCCCCTGCCCCACCAAGTGGGAGCCATGGACCAGCAGAGCAGGCTGGCCACTGGGGGGCGGAGGGGCCTGGGAGGCTTTGTCGCCACCCCAGGCCCTAGGTGCCACAACTCCCAACTCCTAAAGGGGAAAACCGGAGTTTTAAGTGGAATCTCCCCAACTTGTGGGGCTTTTGAAAAATCAGCCTCACTAAAGTATAATTTACATACGTAAAACCAAACGTCCCCACGTGAGGGACTTTGAGGAGTTTGACAAGCGAACACGCAACCCAGACAGCGCCCTGGACAGCCCCAGGCCCACCCCCAGGCAGCCGTGGTCACTGTGCGGCCTGGAAGGTTTGGAAGTCAGAGATACGTCGTGGAAGGCCCCGCTCAGGTGATGCTTTCGAGAGCCCCGTGCTGCTGGGCTCCTATGGCCAAGGATTAGTCCGTGTGGGGTACAGACACTGCTGCCGCCCCACCTTCAGGCAGGGAGCCCCTGCTCCCCAAGGCCGGGGCACTAGGCCACATGCCACCCGGAAGTCAGGATGCCGAGGCTACCGGGCGGGGGGGGGGGGGGGGGGACTCAGAATGGCAGCTGGGCCTGGAGTCGTCCCTGGTTTTTTTGGGTTTAATAAATTTATTCATTTTTTGTTGCATTGGGTCTTCGCTGCTGTGCGCAGGCTTTCTCTAGTTGCAGCGAGCAGGGGCTGCTCTTCATTGTGGTGCGCGGGCTTACTGCGGTGGCTTTCTTGTTGTGGAGCACGGGCTCTAGGTGCGCGGGCTCAGCAGTTGTGCCACAAGGGCTCAGTAGCTGCGGCTCGCAGGCTCTAAAGCGCAGGCTCAGTAGCTGTGGCACATGGGCTTAGTTGATCCGTGGCATGTGGGATCTTCCCAGACCAGGGCTCAAACCCGTGCCCCCCACGTTGGCAGGCAGATTCTTAACCGCTGTGTGGCCAGGGAAGTCCTAGCCCTTTGGTTTTGAGCGTGTGTGACAGACAAGACCCAGGCCCTGTGGGAGAGGCATCGAACCAGGCCCTGCGGCCTGCGACAGAACAAGGGTGGCCTGGGGAGAGTAACCCAGGGAGGGGGGCAGGCAGGGGTGGCAGAGGCCACAGGAGGGAGGTGGCCCCTCACGAGCAACGTGAAGGCCAGGCCCAGAGGGGGCCCCGAAGCAGGGCTGGGGAGGCCTGGTCATCAAAGCCCTCCCCAGCTTGCGGCAGTCCAGAGGCTCAGTGGGGACGGAGGCCAAGCAGGCAGGCAGTGCTGCAGTCCCGTGGTGACAGCAGCCTGGGCCCCAGGAAGCTGCAGCTCCCAGGCAGAGCCGGCCACCAGGAGTGCTACCCTCCCGCTGCCTCCAGGCTGACGGCTCCGGGCAAACCTACTGGACGCTCCGTGACCTTCCAGCACAAGTGGCAAGGACTGATGGAGCCCTGGAGCCTGTGAGCACCCAGGGTGAAACAGGGCGCTCCGAGGCACCGGAGGGTCCAACAGGAGGGTGCATGGCTGTGGGGTCAGAGCCACAGCGCGTGGCTGGGGAGGGCACAGCCTCAGGGCTTCGTGCTGCAGCCTTACCACCAAGTGTACCCAGAACAGCTGAGTGGCAGACTGAGGCCCCAGCGCCCCAGGCGAGCGTGGCACCCTCGCCCACCCTTCTTACCCATGGGGGAAATAAACCTGGTGCCACAATGTGAGCAATCTGAACACCCCTCTCTCTGCCCCCGTTTACACTGGTCTGACGTAAAACCACTGTGTCTGGTCACTACGTCACATGGCTGCCCACAGAGAACGCAGAAAGGGGTCCACCAAAGCCTGGTATTCCCCCAGGCACACAGCTCCTCTGACTGGGAACCCACATGCAGCTGTGTTCACGCAGGTGTGCACTCACGCACAGGTGCGCTCACCATACAGGTTCTGCTCCTCTCAACACATCCCAGAAGACATTCCCCATTGGCAGGCAGGTGCACTTGTCCTCTGTGGCCACAAAGTCCACTGTGGGCATGGGACTTTTTCCTTTTTTTAAATGTTTATTTGGCTGCATCGGGATCTTTTTATTTAGTCGCAGCACGCGGGATCTTTCGCTGTGGTGCGCGGGCTTCTCTAGTTGAGGTGTGCGGGATCTTAGTTCCCCGACCAGGGATTGAACCTGCATCCCCTGCATTGCAAGGCGGATTTTTTTTTTTTTAGATATTGGGGGTAGGAAGTTTTTTTTATTAATTAATTTATTTTTGCTGTGTTGGGTCTTCGTTTCTTTGCGAGGGCTTTCTCTAGTTGTGGCAAGTGGGGGCCACTCTTCATTGTGGTGTGCAGGCCTCTCACTATTGTGGCCTCTCTTGTTGCGGAGCACAGGCTCCAGGCGCGCAGGCTCAGTAGCTGTGGCTCACGGGCCTAGCTGCTCTGCAGCATGTGGGATCCTCCCAGACCGGGGCTCGAACCCGTGTCCCCTGCATTAGCAGGCAGATTCTCAACCACTGCGCCACCAGGGAAGCCCGCAAGGTGGATTCTTAACCACTGGACCACCAGAGAAGTCCCTGGGTGTGGGACCTGACTCATCGTGTCTCCTGGGGGGTGAGGGAGGGCCTCCCCCACCCCCTGGCCATCTCAAACTGCGGCGGCACCTACCGTCCACCCGCTCGCACATGGGTGACACACGCCTCCTCCTCTCCTGAAGCCCCAAAGACTGCTGGGCGGAGGCCCCAACAGTCTCCTCAGGCTCTCGTCACACCACCTGCCAAACCTTCACTGCCCCCGACCGATCGGCGCGAAGACAGCCAGCCTCTCACCTGACTCGCCAGCACCCTGCACGTGCCTGAGTGCAGGGTCACTGCCCTGGGCATGAACCCGGCACCGCCACCCGTTGGTGACAGTCAGGAGAGGGACAGGCGCTCCCGGCACTAAACTGTCCCCGCTCTCCCCCTGCAAGTTACCTGCGCACGTCACTTTGTGCAACCGTATCTGACCCCATAGGTACTTGTCAACTCCGCTGTCCTAAACGCGGTCACTCTGAGGGCCTGGGGTCAGCAGGGATGGTAGCTCTGCTGGAGGCCCGAGGGGACTGGGTGGGGGGCGTGCAGGCCTCCGAGCACCCTCCAAGGATGGGGTTTTTGTTGCGTGTCTGCAGGAACGAGGCCCCCCTGGTGCCCCCGTCTCTTCTCGGTGGCCGTCGGGGCAGGCCCGGGAGAGGCTCACCACCGCCCACCTCTGGGGGGTCTTGACCCGGCCGGCCCGGGGGCCTCAGGAGTGGACGACGTTCTGGCTCTATGGTCGTCTTGGACACCCCGAAAGCACGTTTCTTTCTAAGCCTTGCTTGGCCCTTCTCGTGGCCCCCGGTGTGCTCTCTCTGACCGCTCCCGGGAGAAGCCAGCCCCGCCGGCAGGAGGCACCGGGCGAGCTGGGCACCGGCTTCTGTGCTGCATGCGGGTTGGGCCGATCCCCAGATGGGCAGCTGGAGCGAGAGCCCGGGCACCAGGTGTCTCCCCACTAATGAAGGGAAGCAGGGAGGGCGCAAGCACCAGAAGAGCACCAGCGAGAAGACACGCCGAACGTGGCCATGGCGCAGCAGGTGTCCCTCCTGGAACCTTCTCATCGGAAAGGCCCAGCCCCGCACACGTGGAGAAACGACTCTGCTGGGGGAAGGAGCAGACGCTCTCTCGGGGCAGCAAAGGGCCCACCCGTGGACCCCAGACCCACCCCGACGGTGAAGTGGGCCTGCAAGCCTAACTCAAGATGGGCTTTAAAGCCTCAAAATCAAAACAGAAGACCAGGAGCCCGGAAGTCCCGGATCTGCCCACGCCCGGGGCTCCAGAGACCCGACCCGGTCTGGGAGGCTGCGCAACCACATCCAAGCCCCACCCGCCCCAAGTGCCCCAACCCGCCGGGCCTCCTGCAATGAAGACACACACAGCACTGGGCTCGCAGTTCACAACTTTAATAGAATATTCTAACTAGTCTGTACAAATTGAAAACACCGTGTTCAGTTACAAATGTATCATAAGTAAGGCTGAGCAGTCTACAGCCTGGCCACAGCGTGGATGCCCCTGGGGCCAGAGGTCACACACTCGACACCCACATTCCAGCCAAGAACGGGTCGCTCGGAACCCAGGGCTTTTAAGACAAGGTGAATGTGAGGCTGAGAAACTGGAGCTACCGAGAAAGCAAGACATTTTACACACTACGTGGGAAAGCTGTACTTTCCTGCCCGAGCCCCTCCCCGCGAAGCCTGGCAAACCTGGCTCTGCCCATAGCCCCCCCCCCCCCCCCCCCCCCCCCCGGTCCTCAGCGCCAAGCATGGTCCGTGCGTCCCGAGAACCAGCCCTGGCCCACGGCTGGCAGGAGGGAGGCCTTCTTCCATGCGGGTGGACCACCAACTCTTGCTCGGGGCACCGGGTCTCTGGTGCCCACAGGGTCTCAGAAACTCGAAGGACAGCTCACGTCCCAAGCCCTCACAAGCGTGAGAGAAATAAATACGAGATGAATCACACAAGCTCGCGCCTCAGGCTCAGTGGGCGCCGCGACCCTCACCCCAGCCCCGAGGAAAATAAAGCCAAAGGGCGAGCGGGATGAGTGCCAACCCCAGCCGGCTCTCCCGAGACAACTGGAAACTGCATGTGGGTTTCTTCCAAAGAAACAGGAATCCCGTCTGATGGCGGGAGGGGTGAACTGGATCTACACACCCTGGAACTGCGCCCTGGACACGTGCCCCCAGCGTCAAGTGATCCGCCCCCACCCCACCGCCCCAGCGGTCTGCGAGGCCCTCCCTAAGGCAGGGCTGGGCGGGTCCACTGAGCTGCACCCAAGGCCGTAGGGCGTGCTGGAATTAAACCTCCTATTTCTGAAATGCATCTGAGTTGCCACTGTACAGGTTAAGCAAAATAATAAAGTAAAAGGAGAAGTTAAAGTGAAAATCATGCACTTGAAAACAAGTTAGGCGTAAGCACTTGTCCACACGAGCGAGCGGCGCCTCACTGCTGCTTGCACTCCGAGGGCTGGCTGGGCTCCTTCTGTCAATGAGAGAGAACAAGACTTGTAGAGGACCGAGCAATTCCATCAACCAGGCATCTCCAACCAACAATGAAAACAAAGACTCAAGTATTCACTTGTTCTTGCTGAAAACATGGCCACTACAAATACACTTTAAAAATAGTAACAAATAAGCAGCTAACTTCCCAGTAACAAGGTCACAGCGGGGCTGCCTCTCTCTATATAAAGACATTCTAATTCTCAGTGGGAGGGTCTCCGGGTGAGGGAGGTCCTCGGGTGGCAGACAGTAATTAAACGCACAGCAGTGCCCTCGTCCCAAAGCTGGCAGGCGCCTCAGCTCTGGGGTGAGCAGGCCGGGAACAGCGCTGGCTCCCCTCCATCCCCGAGGTGAACAAGGCTCCCGGCGCTGCCTGGAGCACACCTGCCCCAAGGTCGGGCCCTGAAGCAAAGCCTCTCCTGCACTGGCCCGTGGCGCCCCGACAAAGGACGAGAGGCCACCAAGAACTCCACAGCCAGGCCCCAGTCCTCCCAGGAGCCCCCTCGGCTGGGAATTCCGTCCTTTCAGAGAAGGCGCGAGCGAGACAAGGAGGAGACGCACTTCCGTGTGGTCTGGCAGCTGCGTCTCCTGTCGCTGAAACCCACTTAGCGACCCCATGAATGCTGTGTGGAGGCCAACAGCAGCCTGAGAGACAGGTAACGATTTACCAGTACTTCTTAGCAAATGAATTTACTCGTCAGTAACCTATGGTCTTGGCTGCGAAGATGACAGATTACTCTGAATACAACTTGGCACATCTACGGAGTCTTAAGAAAAACCCGCACCACACAGTTCAGAAGAACCATCTGGGATAACACAACTGACACCTTGCATGGAATAAGCTGGGCTACAGTTCATTCCTTGGGAAACCACACCTAAGGGATGAAAAAGATGATGTGTAAAGGGTGCATAAAGACAAAACAATAATCTGGGGCCCTGGGCTAAGCTCCTTGTTTGTAAGTGTAACAGCACAGGGACAAGCTGGGACTTCCAGGTCTGGCTCGGGTCTCGGCCCAGCACTGCCTAGCACTGGGCCAATGGCACCGGCCCATCACACGCTCACCGGAAACACTGCTGAAGAAAGAGCCTGGGCACCAAAACAAATACCCCAACCAGAAATCCTAGTTGAAAGAGACCTAACTCAAACTCTGTTGTCTCAAGGGGAGACCTGGAGGTGACCCAGACTGTGGCCAGGGGGATCAGACACCGGCCCCAGGCTCTCTGGGGAGGTGCAGAGGTGCCCCAGGACTGGGACATTACTGGCAGGGGCTCGGGCAGTGGCGTGCAGCCTTTTGTGGACGGGGGAGAAGTGTGTGGGTTTCCATAACTGGATCTGCAGAAAGGAAGGAGGTGAGAGAAGCTGAAGCTGAGGGAGTGGGACGGTGTCATGGCTGTGGTATGGCGGGGCGGGCGGCACAGGGCGGTGGGCTTGCTGCTCTACATCCTCTGGGTAAATACATACGCAGGACGTACAGGACGCCATGAATGCAGAGCGGCACACGGTTTACAATGTGCTGTCTCAGTGACATCACATCTATCTTTAACCAGGAGAAGGCATCAACCATCTGTCTGTTGACAACGAACTCCTTCCTTGGGTGCTGAAGACTGCTAGAGGGACGGGTCCTCGCCAAAACCAAGACCAGGACGGGCTGTTGTGAGGGTGGGAGCCGGGTGGGGACGCTGTGTTTAGAAGGAGGCAGAAGGTGGGGCTTGCCAGGCAGCATCCCACCTCCTGAGGGCCACGTTCAGCCCAGCCTGGCACCAGCGCAGAAGCGTGGAGCCACGCATGTGAGCTTCATCACCGGGACACCACAGTTTCGGCCCGTGACAGAGGGCAGAGCAACACTGCACTAAACCCGAGCGCCCTCTGCCCCACGGCACGAAGCTGTTGGAAGCCCAGTCTCTCATGCTGCCGCTCGTCAAGGGACAGGAGTCGGTGCTTCAAAGGCACAAACTAACACTCAACACCCTGCCTGGTGGGGGCGGGCACTGAAAAGAAGGGCTTGCACTGATGGTAGCAAGCACACGCCACCACCATGGCCTCAGGGCTGGGGGCCCGAGGCCCGAGCGCCTGCCCAACAGCCCATGACACGACCCCCTCCACGGGGCGCCTGACGACACAGGCGAGACGGCACGGCTGTGGTTCTGCCACAGAAGAGTCCTCCTCGCCCAGAGGTACAGGCTGGACCATTTATGGATGCTTCGCAGTCACGGGTAGAGTGGGGAGCAGTGGGGCTTCGGGCCAAACCAGCCTGGCTGACGCGTTCTTCAGACACACAGGGCAGCAGGAATCAGACAGTAAGCAGACACAATTCTAAATGATCAGATCTGACCCTTTAAAACAGAAAAGATCCCAGGTGTACATTCACTTCATCTAATTAAAATGCTTCCTTTAGCCCAAGTCTGCCCACCTGCCCCTTAGTCTTCTAAGAAAGCCAGCCGCCCGAGTAAGACAGGAAGGCGATGCAGATGGACCCTCGAAGGCATGGGGCTAACAGACCCCCAGACCACGGCTCTGCGGTGCAGAGACACAGCTCTGCTCTCCCAGGAGCCGCTCCCACACTGCTGGCCTGCTTAGCTCAACGCGGGCAGCCCCTGCTCTCTCCTAGATGCTAACACTGCCGCCCTGGCTTCTCACAGGCTCTCCTGTTTGCACCTTCCTCCGTTGCTCCACAAAAGCCGACGGTGTCGTACGAGAGGGACTTAATGACTGGGGCAGAGCTACGAGGACCCATGACCCCCGGAGGGGGACAGGGCGGCTCCTGGGACTTGCAGCGCTCACTTGGATCTACAACAGGTCCTTTGCCTTGTTCGAGCAGTACGCCCCTCAGCAGCACTTACTAACGCTGCTGTGAAAACTGGTGCCAGCAGCTTCTGAGAGAGAAGGTCCTGGCGCGTTCAAGTTACCCCTTTATTATCTATCGGTCTGCAAAGCACCTGAATTTAAAAAGTATAAACAAGCAACAGACACACGTCGAGAAGAATCACAGCAGGCAGCAGACCTCGTCCTGCTGAGGCCAGCATGGCTGGGGGACCTGTGCATCCTGGTCCCAGGGCCCTCCTGTTCTGTCTTCTTCCCGGGTGTGGGGGGTGTGGGGAGGGGGGGCGGCAGCCCCATCACCAACAAAGCTTTCACACCAGTTACATCTCTGTTACTTGGTCAGCGACAAACACTGGGCTCAGCAAGTAGGAGCCAGACGTGGTTTCTGTCGGTTTTAAAAGCACACACGACAGACACCTGCACAAAAACACTGCTCTTCAGAAAGCCCTTGTCCAGGCCCGCACGTGCTGAGTGCGCCCGGACGCTCCACCGAGTCACGACAACATGGCATTGCTACAAAGCACAGACCAGAAGTTTGGAAGTTAGGAATGAATGGAATTCCACCTTACCTAGAAACGTATGAATGATTAACAGACAAAAATTACACCTAAATGGGGAAAAAAACTGAAAGGAACTGTCAGCATGAAAGAAAATGAAATGCACAAAATTATACAGGAGGAAAGGAGCCACCATTTCTCATGATACAACGGGCTGCAAAAATATCGACCTTGAGATGGGAAACCTCAACACCCAGATCTGTACCTTTAATACCGCAACACTTCTTCCTGATCTTCCTGTGCTTGTACAGACTGTGATGTGACTGCGCCCTCTGAGGAGGTGCACATGGAGGAACAGAAGTGTCACGTCACGACCCCAGGGGACAGGACTAGGGCATTTCGACTGCACGTGGCTGACCGAAGGGCCCTCCTCAGGCACCTCGCCCACTCCCAACCAACACAACAGACCGAAGGCTTCACGAAGGCTTACTACTGACATGTCTCTACTTTCTGTTAAGCTATCTGTGATCACTTGGTGAGAATTCTCTTCTAGAAAACCCAGACGTGAGAGGAGACAGAAGGTTTGGCAAGGGGAGAGAGAGGACAGACAACAGGAGGAAACAACAAGAAATGGGGAACAGAGCAGCCGCTGTCAGTGAGACAAGCGACCAGAGACAGGGCGCTTGAGTCCAGCAGTGGACACGGTAACCAGCCGTCTCTGCTCTAGAAACCCCACCGTGAGCGTGTGCATCAGTGCCCCCAGCGCAGAGCCGCCAGATACAGACACCTGGGGCCGGGCACGGCGCGGTTCTATCACTACCCGACAGCGAAGGGCGACCCCCTCAAAGCAGGGCCCTAGGCTCGCAGCCCAGGAACTGAGCACAGGTGCGCCGTCCATACGGCGACGCCCCAACAGACAGGCTGGCTTTGAAAGCATGAACATGCCCGAGCCCACACCCAGAGCAGTATCTATAAGGCACACTGAGGATTTAAACCCACCACGAATTCTTCCCCAGAAGGAACTACTGCTGTAAGCATGCATTCATAGGAACATCTGGTGCTATAAAGTGATCAGACCCAGCTATACAATGACAGCTTAGTGCACGGCCCACTTCAGGCACAACGGGGGTAAACAAACAAACAAACAACGTCTACTTAAATAGAGATAAAGATTCTACAATGCCAAGTGATGTTAGTATTCTGACAGCCCGTGATACATTTGGTCCTAAGAGTCAGGTGAACTATAAATTTCACGTGAGCAATTACAGCTTCAGGACAGCGTTAGAACAGTTCTGTATTTAAAATATGTGTCAAGTGGCAAAGTCCCTGATGTACGCTCAGCTGAGTCCGTAAGTAAAAACTCAGACAGGCGTAAGATTAATGGGACCGCCCACTCATCCTAATTGGTTTTGTTTTGTTTTTTTGCAAAGCTTCCTAATTTATTTCAAATTATCTGAGCTATCGAGACATGTCTTTTGAGTATTCTCAGCCCATGTACAATTGTAAAATTATGCCTACAACTCCATTATCCTATCATTAACAAAACAAAACAAGCCCCCCACCAAGCCCTGTCTCTGTACCTTTTCCAAAAACAAACACACAAAACAAAAAAAGTTTATTCATGTTGTCAGTTAAATCATTATCTTAAAAGAATTAAAGATATGGAATGTAAAGCTGCTCTACTGAACAAGTTTATACAAATAAGATATAGCTCGGGAAAGCACTGGAAAGCAGTTTAGTGCTCATATAACACTCAAATTATACACCAGGTGTCTAAACGGCTCCTCATTCAAGTGTTTTCCTGGCACATTTTAACTTTCCTAATTAGAGAATGACAGGTACATATTTGTAACACCACTACCTCAAAGTGGGGAACGTGTTTTAAGAGGTCCACAGTGTAGCATACACAGGCGTGGGAAGCCCCAAATAACTAACCTTGGGGTTAATTTCGGCATCGTCCTCATCTTCTCCCTCCTCATCACCTTCTAATTCCTGCATTAAAAGGAGTGAGAGCTAGTTGAACAGACAGGACTTAAGTTCTTGTGGATCCACCAGCCACAAATAAAGCAATACTCTGATTCTGAAGGAAAGCAATTACAATCATTGCTAGCCATACTTCTTTAAATCCCCTCCTTTGGACACTTCTTGTTCTAGCAAATAACCCTGAAATAAACATACTGCTGAAAGAGTGGATTTGGTTTGCTAAATGGTTATTTTCTAAGATGCATTTTCATAAGCCAACTGCAGGGTCAAACTGGACACTGCTACCCATCTGCCGTGTCTTTCCATAGTATTCAATAGGGCTGAAAGCTTCAAAGGCAGCTTCCCACGAGACGAGTCTAAAGTGGTCCCCTGACTTCAAAACCTTCATCCACTCAAACAGAGAAGGCCTAAAGCAACCTCGGGGAATGATGTCTCACAAAAACCATGTCTTACCTCCTCCTCTCCTTCCTCACCTTCTTCAAACTGAAAAGAAAGGAAACAGGTTTTTAGGTTTTGGGTTTTTTTTTTGCGGTACGCGGGCCTCTCACTGCTGCGGCCTCTCCCGTTGCGGAGCACAGGCTCCGGACCCGCAGGCTCAGCGGCCATGGCTCACGGGCCCAGCCGCTCCGCAGCACGTGGGATCTTCCCGGACCGGGGCACGAACCCGTGTCCCCTGCATCGGCAGGCGGACTCTCAACCACTGCGCCACCAGGGAAGCCCGTTTTTAGGTTTTATAAAGCGTGATGGCAACCTGACCCAGACACAGCCCGTCAAGCGCCCACAGGGGTATAGGGCCTAAGGAGAGCGGGAAGTGGCCTGGCCTCTCAGCAGAGGCCAGTCTGCCGCCGGCACCTCTGCTCCAAGCCAGGGCCAGAACTGCGGGGCCGCTTGCTCACAAGCCCTGCCATGTTAATAGGATGCCAGGTATCCGAAAACCACTCAAAACGAAGACTACGGATGGAGATGGGGTGAAGAAAGGAAACCGTTGGCTTGGGTGTGCGCTGGGTCCAACTGGGAAACTGGTTGATCTAAGCAAACCAGTAGCGTAATTTTATCACATACTGGACTTTCAATGTCATTTTATAACTCAGACAAGGGGAAATCTTTAATCTGCATTTAGAAATGTAATAAAATCTTGGTGTTTAATCTTTAAAATAAGTCAGAAAAAGTGTGCATGGGAGAAACTCCAACACTGTAGCTGAACGAACGTCTCAATTCAATGTCTTGTGTGTCCAAAGACACTGCTGGCCAGGCTCTCAGCCAAGTCCCGAATATCAGACTGCTGTCAAAAGCTAAACAAAACAAAATAACCCTCGTCCCTGGTGGCTGCACTGACACACACACATGAAGAGTCAGCAAGCTTTCTCTTATAACCCTTTCTTCTTGGAGCCCCCCGCCCCCCCCCCCTCGTCAGCAACGACTCAAAGGGAACTCAGAAGAGCGCAGTGTGGGCAGGGCCTGGTGCGGTCGGCCTGGGATCTGACCGTGTCTTGGCACCTTTTCCTCCAGGCCTCTGACAAAGAAGACCTTTCAGTGTCTTGCAGTCGACAAGACTCTCACTGCAGCATTTCAGGTCGCACTGGAATCAGCCTCACACAGGCTCAAGTGCCCATTTTCTGAGGTTCTAAGTCCATCATTTCACCCTGGCCCCATCTTCTGAGCGAGCTCTGTGCGGGCATCTCACACTCGGGCAGAGCAGAGGCTCCAGAGTGGGGTGTGCAGCCCGTGGGACGAGTGAGGTGACCCACGTTGAGTGTGGAAGACGAAACCGGGACTCCTCCTCCGCCCACTTCACCCCATAACGATGCCCAGTGTCCACATCGTCCCTAGCGTGTCTGACGTCAGTGCACTCATCTCTGTCCCAGTACCACCGAGCCTCCTCTGCCGGAGCCTGAGGAGCAGCTGGAGTGACGACCACCAGCCCCGGTCCACGCGTGGCAACTCTGGGGCTGCAGCAGACGCAGGCTGACGTGAGCCCCTGGACCACACTGCGCACCTGCGGTGCCTGCACCTGCGGTACCTGCACCAAAGGCATTATGAATGAGCATGGACACGGATGTTACAGGCAAACACACTGTATTGCTCACCAGGAGTTGCTATGCTGCCTACACTATAAATAAATATACATGAGCTGCTAATTAAGTTTTTACACTGATGGGTGTATGATCAAAAAAGTTTGAGACCACTGGTCTAGAGCTGAGTTTCCCATTGTGTGTAGCCACTCGATCTTTTTTGGTCACATTAGATAAATGCAAACCCTGGTTCCTCAGCTGCCAAGGGCCGCACCTTCAATCTCCCAGCGTCACGTGGTGCCAGTCCTGCTGCAGCAGATGGGGCAGAGCACAGCTCCCTCATCACAGAAGGTGCGCTGGACAGCGCTGGTCCAGAATTTGCTGCATAACCAGCATTTCCTAAAACTCAAGTCTGAGCAACTACCTGAGCGCTAAGATGACCCCAAGCTGCGCTGTGCTGTGTGTGTCCGTGTTCCCGGATTCCCACAAGTACCTCCCAGCCCGGGGATGGACAGGCCGCACCTGAGAAGCTCACCAGTGTCAGGCGATGTAGCCAGTACGCCCTGGGCTGGCCCACTCCCGCTGCGTGGGGGCCTTCAGCACAAAGGAGGGCACGAAGCAGCTCGGACCTGTCCAGCAGCCACAACAGACCTCGCCAGAAAGGAACCTCAGAGCACTCAACACAAGGGAGCAAACAGCACCTAAGCACACTTCCAGCAACACGCCACAGGACAGACCGTTATCTCCACACAACAAGAGGGCCCGCGGCAACCGGGCCTTGGTCACGATGGAGAACCATTTCAGGTGACAGCCCGGGGCAGCTGGCCAGGCTGTGCTCAGGGGTCCTGCCCCCAAGTTCTGACTGTGGGAGGGCGAGTTCCTTCAAGCAGAGGGGAAGGTGGCCTGCGCAGCCGGGCTGTTTTTCTGTGGAGTGTGGGGTTCTATTTCTTTGGGGTCGATATGCCACATGCCGGCACGACTCGGCTGTGCTGGCCGTTGCTTGGTGAACAGGAGTTTCCCCGTGTTCAGAAGTCACCCAAAGCCACAGACCTCGTGTGCAGCAGCGAACCCCTGGGTCCTTAGAGGACATTCGGAAACAAGTCACTGGCCGGGCCCACGTGGGCGTGTGGTGCTCAGATGCCTCAGAGAGACCTGCTTCTCCCGCCTCTGCCATCTCCCTGCCCAGTCTATTTCCTCCAAACTCCAGAGGGCAGTGCCCCGTGGACCTGGTGGAGGATGTCATGAAAATCTCAGCTGGGCTTCCCAAGCCAGCACCCACTCTGACCCCAGCGGCTCCCACAGGCCACCTACGTTGTCGTCGTCCTCTATGGCCTCCCCCGTGAAGTAGAGCACAGCGCGCGGCACGATCCGCTCACGGAAGAAGTGTCCAATCTCAAAGTCGGAGGCTAACGTGAATTCGGAGTCTTCATCCTGAGGGGAAAAGAGAAGTGCTAACTTGCTTCAGCGGGGTAAACATCACATTCCCTTGCCCATGCCTGACCCCTCCCCCCCACTTCCAGTGAGTCGGCTTATAAAGCACCCAGTGTGGGCACTGCTGGGTGACAGGCATCTCTGAGGTTAGGCCGCATTAAAGGAACCCTTGCAGCCAAATGGCAGGAAAGCGTAGGGCCCAGAGCCACATGTGCGAGGGGGTGAGGCTCAAGGATACGCCTGCCCTCAGGTCCACCCACGGAACATGCGCTTCTATCCCACCCCCACGGTGCAGTGAATACAAATTCACCCTTGGTTTTTAGGCAGTAAGAACAGATTAAAAAGAAAGTAGCAAACTACTCAGGAAATAAGGACCTTAACAGCAAAACAACATACTTTTTTGATAATGACACACAACTTACCAGTGATTCTCCATCCCCTGATGCTAGAAAAAAAGACAAAACACATCTGCATTACATCGACAACCAAAACCTTCTAAAGCCCACGCAGGAAGCTCAGCTGACAAATAAAATGGAACATCTCACTAGAAATTGCCTAAGCGTTGTGCCTCCCCCTGGCCGGCTCCCCACTCCCCTGCCTGCTGCAGGCTGAAGCTGTGGCCCCAGCACCGCCAGGCCCCCTTCCCTCCCCCCACCCCCAATCAAGGGCCAAAGGCCAGTACCCAGTAATGCTCACAGGCCCAGCTGGAGAAGGCCACTTTCAGAAGAGAATTTACAGACATTTAAAGCATTCGCAGTTGGAAAGGTGCACCAGCTGCCCAGACTGTGGCCGTTCAGGGCATTTTTGTTTTAAGCGGAGTTTTAACTCGTGTCCTACAAAACTACAAGCAACGTTTCAGTAGAGAAACAGGAAGCACTTTAAGGCTGTAAGTCCTCAGTGTAACTGAGGCGCTGCATCTCAGCTAGGTGGAAGCTGCATCCCTGCTTGCTTGCAAAGGGGAAGGAGAGGGTAGTGAGGAGCCGCTCCTTCTGCAAACACTGCAGCACGCAGGGCAACGTTACTCACCGACACCCACAGCAGAAGCCCGCGCTCCACACAAAAGGTGAGCTGAGATTCGGTTCCAGCACCCACGGCCCTACAGACCTTGGTGCCGAACTACAGCCCAACACGGAACCAAGAAAACACAGACTTAAAACCACGCTCAGTGAAGCCCAGTGGCGCTTCGCCAGGCATCGCGTCCCCTTTGCCGGGCTCACCCTGCCTTTGCGTCTTCCCTGTCGCCCCTCTGCTGCAAGGTCTGTCTCCGTGGCCAGCACAGAGAGGGGCACGCGCCATCTCAGCCACGGCGGAGCGGGTGCTGGTGTGAGCACCCCTCCCCGTGGGCGGTGGGGGGCCCGAGCCTCAGCGTGTAAGAGCCCCACCTGCTGTTTAAGATGCAGGCTCGGGGCCTCTGGACTCAGGGGCGGCAACAATCACAGCAAGGACTTCCTCACCTGACTTCTGGGCCAGTTTGTAGGATTAAAGCCAAACAGGTTGCTGGACTAGCCATCTTTTATTTCCTTCATTTCAAAAAGCATTTCAGCAGTTTGGGTTTTTTTCCTTGACCACTCCATCACCCCTCCCCCACTCTCATCCTCTATTCCTTTTCATAGAGCATATCACTTGATATTATGTTTATTCAATTACTTTAAAAATAGTGATATACCATAAAATTCACCCACTTTAAGTATACAATCCAATGACTTCTCATACATTTTTAGACTTGTGCAACCACAATACAGTTTTAGAACCCCCCAAATCACCCCCAAATTCTTGAATCCATTTGATTCCATTTTAATTGTTATTAATTATTTAAAACATCCAAAAAAGCCACTGAATTTAGGAATCAAAGCCCCTTTGCTTCACAGTGAATTCACACAGGAAGCCTCCCATGTGTGAGGCTCTGAAAGGGATCTTCCCAAAAAAGGAAATTTAAGAACTACATTTATGGCTGTTCTTGTCCCCAAAACTGATATACATCGGCATCTTCCAGGTTCCAAGACAAGTCACGGAAAATAGCCACAACAGTGAAAAACGATGGACTGCATGGTGATGGGCAGCTTGATAACTCGGCACGAGAGTCAGAGTGAAGACGGAAGCCACCCCGTGGCCCTGACAAACAACGCAAAGGGCCACCAACGGCCTAGATCAGAGCTGCCATTTATCTCCAACTGTTTTTTGTTCACGGAAAATACAGAGAAAATGTTTTCCCCTCATATCAATATTTTAACGCTGCCAGCGGGTCTGGTCTTCGAATTCTCAGGATTAGGAAATTATGTGAAGACTTTCAAGTAATTTTCCTCAAAACCAGCGGCTGAGCCATTACTACTTCCATCTCTCTTTTACTGGGGGGTGGGAGCAGGGAGCAGAGAACAAGCGTCCAAGCTATGATTCTGTCCTAAGTCTGTGTTTGTCACAATATGTAAGTTCCCAAACCCCTTGTGCTCTACACCAAGGCTCGAAGAAAAAACCAAAAACCCACCTGAGAGGGAGGGGAGAGGGAGGGGTGGGCCGACGCCCTGCAGGCTGTAGGGGTGTGAGCAGAGCAGCCACGCGGACCCCTCCCCCTGGGGGCGGGGGCATGCAGCTCCGACAGCTGCCCAGGCTCACCCTCCTGCCAGGACAGGCACCCGTGGGCCCGCCCGCACAGCCACGGCTCCGCCCCTCAACGCTCGCCAGAGGACCAGAACCGCCTTCCTGATGTTAACAGTCATTCTGTGTGTAACCTGGAGTCACAACCCAGCCCACTCACCTTTCAGCGGACTGAAGAAGTTGAAAAAGGAATCGTTGGGGACTTGTTTGGTAATTGTTCTGACGGTGCCTCGGCCCTTATGTTTCTGCTTTTTCTTGATGGTTTTGACTGTTACATTTTTTCCTTTCTTCCAGTCAATGGTACACCTACAGGGACAAGACCGTGATCACGGGGGTACACACTTCATGAGAAAAACTGGTCACACGTGTGTCCAGCAAGCAAATCACAGCTCTGTGCTTAACCCCAAAACAACTTAACGACCTGCGAGCGAGCACTCGGCACACGGTGAGCTCACGCGAAGGCCAGTGAAGGCGGAGGGCCCCGCCAGGCAGGCTGTCAGCGCGGCAGCTCCCGGAGCTGCACAGCTTTAACCCCCAGACGTTTCGCAGGGATCCTCCAACATTCTTCCCGTGACCACGCCCGCTCAAGGGCTTGTCACCTGCTGCCCCGTCACAGACCCCACAGCGCACAGGAAGCCACCCACTCAGGCGCCTGAATTCTCAAGACAACTAGCTAAGCGAGTGGGACAAGCTGGAGAAAGCAAGCAGGTGGCTACCGCAAATACGGGTGACCGGAGCAAGACACAATGTTCCAAGTGTGCTGAGCGGCCCTTGGTGGGGACCACGCTCTGAATCACCCTGGACCAACAGGTAAGCCCTGGCAGTGTCTGAATAGCGTCTGCTCAAGGACATGCCTGGAAAGGCAGGCCTTCTTACCCGATGGCCTGGCCGTGGGAAACAATCTACATTACTCTGGCCATTTAAGTCTAGCAGGATTTTAAGAGAGTTCTGTATTACTCACACAGGGAGATTCATCAGGATAAGTACTTGGTTCAGTGAATAAGGATAACTGTTTCAATCAAGAATAAAACAATTTCCCAAACCGTCTCAAACCACCCAAGAGGAGTGAACTCCAAGCCACTCTCCTTGGTGGTCCACAGGCTGCAATCACCAAGGCGCTCAGCCCTGAGGCCAACCACGCTCATGCTGCCTCACCGTGGTCAGTGCTGCCCTGCACTGACTCATTCATTCACTCAACAAATACCCGCTGAGAGGAATTTATCAGTTCAATGATCACTGCTTCACTTACGGTGACTGGAGATCCCAATGCCCTCATTAAAACGAGGAAATCGGGCCACCACCCCAAACCCTGGCCCACGTAACCACATGATACATTTCCCAGCGCCAGTCATCATATTCCCAGAGAGACTCTTTAATTTCCATCTTTGTCTTTTGGGCTTTTAAACAGATTAAAGGCTTTCTGCTTTATTCCTAACTTCCATCTTACTTGTAAAGTTGTAAGACCACCTCCTGCTTTTGTTTCAGAAAAAGAAGTTGCAGTGGCATTTCCTTACCCGTCACAGTCAACTATTTCAGGACCTTCAAAGGAAAAGGGATCGGCCTTATCTGGCTCTGACTTCATCTTGTACGTTTTTGTCAGGACTGAATTGGTAAAGTAGTCGTTGGATTCAAAGTGGAACTCTAATACAAAAGACTGGAAAAAAAGACAAAAACTGGGCTAAGCACCACTTAAAATCTATGACTAATTAGCGACCGACTTTATGAATCACACAGTACTTACTGGAACCCAGCTCTTCCCTAAGCATGACACCACAGGCAGAAACCATGACTGAAAAGCTCAACAGGTGTTGCCACATAAGAACTTGCTGACTGCAAAAGCACCAGCACAGAGTTAAAGCAAGGCAGCAGGCGGGCAAACACCCATCACCCTTCGGGCCCCGCCACCTCCCCTCCCAGGGAGGACAAGCTCTCCTGAGGAGTGTGGCTTCTCCCTGCCGCCCCACCCTCCCTTCCCCAAGAGCACAGCAGGGCGGGGGTCTGGAGGCAGAAGGCGGCAGCAGAACCCTGTCTCCCTCTCCTTTCTCTTGGGCAGAGCAGCTCCTTCTCTGCCGCGCAGCAAAAGGGCCAAGACTCCACGTGGGGAGAGAAGGGGAGGCACTGACTGGGCCTCTTCAAACCACACCAAGGACAAGTTCACCCTTCACTCACAAAGCACTCTTCAGACCTAGAGACACGCATGGGAGGAATGGACAAACGGGTGTACAGAGCAGTAGTAACAAATCAGAAGATATTCGTGTGCACAGTAACAAAATAAATGAAAAATAAAATGAGACGGCCCCTTTCTGTGCAAAATGTCCAAAGAACACATGGTACTGGCAAGTGTTTTGGGAAGCCAGGGGCACTCATATACTGTAAAGGGCTTTGTGAAGGGCAATTTGGCAATATCAAAAAATTAACAAAATAAAAAACATTCTGGGACCCAATAATTCTGTTTTGAGGAATGTGTCCTATTTCAGGAAGATGCCTGGATGGGTGCAGCAGCATGTGCAAAGATACTGACCTCAGTCCTTCTGACAAGACAACCTGGGGGAAGTAAGTAACAGTCTAAAGGACCGGCTCTGGGTCTGGCCAGCCTCTGCCTGTCAGTGCTGCGTGATTCTGGGAAGCTATTCCACGTCCCTATGCTTTCGTTTCCTCACCTGCAAAATGGAATAAACAACCCTTTCTCTCCATGAGTTCACTTGAGGATTAATCTATGGAAGCACTTAGAACAGGGCCAGGTTTACAGGCATTACTTGCTAAATGTTAGCTATTTCTATTTCTAAAAGAAGACTAAAAACAAGCCACTTCCACAAGGGGAAGTGAAATAAGAACTCCCCCAAGAGAGGGATGAGGAAAAGAAGGGCCACAAGGGCCTGGGAAGTACAGACACAAGTGGCCAAGAGGACTGGAGGCAGTCCTGTCAGTGTTCAGAAGGGATGGCAGGGATCTGGCCAGGTCTCCACTGACCCCTGCCAGCGTGGTGTGGGCTGGAGGGGAAGGGAGGTCAACACCCACAAGTCACTAGGCTGGCAAAACCAAAGTGCAGCGAGGACAGGAAGGCAGCTATAGGGAATCAGAACATCGGTGGAATCCCTCTCCATGGCTCTCCTGAACCTGACCCCAGGCCCCATAAACCCGATCTTTATCTTGGACTTCAGTCAGTGGAGACTGCTATTACTTGAAAACTGTTGAGGTGGTGACCACAGATGTGGATGGCCCACCTTGGGGACTGGGCTGGGCTAACGAATGGCACTGTTCTATCCCGTCCTTCACTGCGTCCATACAGATATGGACAGAATTATTTATTTCCCTCTCTCTCTCCCCATTTCCTTCTCCTGCCATTTCTCCAAACCAAGGGTGCTACTTCCTTTCTTCATATTTTCCTACTTTTCCTTCTTTCCCTAGGCCTCTTTTTAGTCAAGAACGAGTCAAACACAACTGGGGATGATTTAAAGAAAGTGTCTAACAGTCCAACAGAAAAGGGCCCAAGGACGAAGCGACCTCATTCACACCCCGCTACAGCCAAGTCAGCCATGAACATATGACAAATGCCCAGCCACACTCGCAATTAAGTGTACAATTCCATTTCTTCCGCCCAGCAAAGTAAACACGGCTGCTACTGTCTTTGCCGACACTTGTGCTGAGAAGAGAGGAGGCGGTCCCCAGGCAATGCTGCCCATGTGGTCAAAGCAGACAACTCAAGTCCAGGCAAACGACATACGGGGATTCTCTGTACTGTTGCTGCAGTGCTGCTCTAAGCTTGAAATTATTTCAACATAGAAAGAAACCAAAAAATGTTATTACAAAAAGAAAAGTGTAAAAAGATACCACTAGCATCATCAGGAGTGTAAATTGAACCACCTTTGGGACTTATAAAGGTTTGCCTCCTTCAACCCAGTAATTATACTAAAAGGAACCTAAACTGAGGAAATCATCAGAAATTTAAACAAAAGCTTGGGGCACAAGTAAGCTGATCATAACGCAACAATTTATAACGGGGTGGTGGTGGCAGTGGCATATTCTGGGGAATGTTGAACCTTTTTTTTTTTTTTTGCGGTACACAGGCCTCTCACCGCTGTGGCCTCTCCTGTTGCGGAGCACAGGCTCCGGACGTGCAGGCTCAGCGGCCATGGCTCACAGGCCCAGACGCTCCGCGGCATATGGGATCTTCTCGGACCGGGGCACGAACCTGCGTCCCCCACGTCGGCAGGTGGACTCTCAACCACTGCGCCACCACGGAAGCCCTGTTGAACCTTTTTACAGCCAACAGATGCAGCAACTATTTTCCACCCTGCAGGGCCTACATGAGGTGAAGAGAGCAGTGCAACACTGTCCACACACTGGGATTCCACTTCGCTGAGGTACAAACATGGTGACCCTGGAGAGTGACCCTGAGGAGGGGCAAACACCCTGGCTGTGTTTCCCTCTGAAGTAAGGTGGTTTCATTTTATTTTCTTTAGACCTTTTATTTATTTGTTGATTGACTGATTGATTGCTGCGTTGGGTCTCTGTTGCTGTGCGGGCTTTCTCTAGTTGCGGTGAGTGGGGGCTGCTCTTGGTTGTGGTGCGCGGGCTTCTCATTGCGGTGGCTTCTCGTTGAGGAGCATAGGTTCTAGGCGCGCAGGCTCAGTAGTTGTGGCACACGGGCTCGGTAGTTGTGGCTCGCGGGCTCTAGAGCGCAGGCTCAGTAGTTGTGGCACAGGGGCTCAGTAGTTGTGGCTCGCGGGCCCTAGAGAGCAGGCTCAGTAGTTGTGGCTCGTGGGCTCTAGAGCGCAGGGTCAGTAGTTGTGGCGCATGGGCTTAGTTGCTCCACGGCATGTGGAAGCAGGGAAGACCCCGTTCCATAACAATTTTTAAAAGCGCAGAGACTATGGGTAAATTCACTAAGCTGCTGACAGTTATCTCTAAAAGAGTGCGCAGCGTCCTGTACGCTTCTCTGTACCGTCTAACTTTTCTTATGCAAGCACGCATGACTTTCACAATGACTCAGTCTACCACAGCTAGGGCTCCAGCCTGTCTATGGGCCACAGAAGAGACCGAGGAAAATATAAGACAGATGGGTTGAGGAAGAAAGGGAATGGACCAAGGAAATCATCAAACAGGTGCGTGCGTGTGTGTGTGCGCGCAACACACACACAACACACACACACACACGGAAAGAGAATTCACACCCATCACAGCAAACTACAGCACTCTGCCACAGGAGGCCTCTAGGGGACGCTGTGGCCAAGCCTCGCACAGGTGAGGAGCGATTACTGGGAAAAAACTGACAAGAGGAAGGCGCTGCAATAACCTGGGTGCCGTAGGAAAGAAGGGGCTCCCTCAGCTACCAGAGTGACCCCCAACCTGTGAGCAGGCATCACTCTGGCTGGTGTCCACACCCCACCTGCTGCGGAGGGATGTGTGAATGTCACCTCCAGAGTGGAGCAGACCAGGAAAGGGACAGATACAGGTGTGTGTGCCCCCACCCCTTGCCCCCAGCAGACATCACCCGCAGGCCAGGGTAGAGGGAATCCCGCTCACACTGCTCTGTGGTGGGGAAGTGGGAAGAGACCGGGCCTCAGCCCCACGGCCCTCAGGCACTGTGTCTTCAAAACCTGAAACCAAGAGCCACCAGGCAGGCAGTCAGTTGTGTGGTGCTGGAATTGCTGTGGCACTGGAATGGAACCCACCAGCCACAGGCAGACTGGGAGGTCACGAACAGTGCTCCCTGAGGACCCCAGCTCAGGCATCACCGTCTCAAGGCTGCTTCACAGAAAAGGACAGGCTGGCTTAGGTCAAACCCCCCTCACTAACTGGTAGGCAGCCTACGAGAGCAAGTATTCTGGATAGATGTGTTTCAAGACAAATCAAAGAGCAGGGAAACATTTTTTCAGTCTTATCTATCCGCAGTGACTCCTGAAGGTGAAACCTAGTACATTTCCTTCACTCGTATCCTGGGTTTCTGTTAAAGTGCTGCTTATATCTGAATATGTACCAACCACCCTTTGCAGCCTGTTTTACATACATTCCACCCTCACAAACCTGGGAGACGCTTAGGAGAAGGAGGACATCGCCCCATCTGACAGAGGAAACAAATTAGCCCAGAAACCACAGCATGGCACAGTGGAGGCCGCGCCGGAGGAGGCCCCTCCTGCGCCTGCCCCCGAACAGCTGGCGGACTGAGTGACTGTCCGGCTGTGCACACTGCCGGGTGACGCCCAGGGGTGCAATGTGAGAACACACGTCTCACCCCAGTCACCCAGCAAGTGAATGGCCGGGTGTGGATTTCTGGCTCTAAGCCCTTTACCCTTAGTGGCCTGACCCTTTCTGACACCAGCCAGGAGTTCAAACAATCAGTACTCACCATAGGCTGCCCAGGGTCTGAAAACTTCACTTTGATGTCCTGCAGGTGCTTCAGAATTGGCTCATCATATTCCTAACCATGAAGAGCAGAAAAGAAAGTTCTGCTGAGCTTTTACAGACAACACACATGTTCTCACTGAGTCACTGTTGCACCTACTCCTAGACACTGGATAATTAGCCCTGTTGGAATTCTGTCCTTGTCACTCCCAGGAAGCCACCCAAATTTGTTCAGTCACTAGCAGTCTTAGGGTGGCAGCAATGAGGTGCCACCTTAGTCTGGCACGGAGCACTGGTAACCACCAATGCCAAGCCAGAAGGGCATCGCGCTCATTGCCAGGGGCAAGAGCCCTGACTGATTTCACAGCCCCACCAGCTGCCAGTATAGACAGGGTCGGAAATGCCATCAATTAAGACTGCTGGTCCTCAGCATCTCCTAAGAGACAGAATCAGAAGAAATGCCTGGACAAGCTACTGACCTTGGCAGCCAATTCCCCTCGCTTAGGGCACGTGGTGATAAATATCCCAAATCCAACAACACACACTGTCAAGGACACTCACAAAGCAAGTCTGAGACCTGATGGCAGGCACTACGTAAGAGCCTCTAACGATGGCTCTATGCCTTTACGAGTCATCGTTATGCAAACACAGTTCACCAGGGCCTGTCGTTTGAGAAAGGCCAACTGAGAAAAACTCAGAAAAAAAAAAAATCACAGGACCTGAAACCCAGTGACCACATACTCACGAGAGGTGCTTTATTTGTGAAACAGTCACTTCACCCTGGAAGTCTGGGGACTGGACCGAAAGGATTTCCTGAGGTTCCGCTGAGCCTGATAACTACCAACTTCCCAATTTTAAATTCTTTCTACATCACAGGCAGACCTCGTTTAATGCACTTCACTTTACTGTGCTTCACAGATATTTTGGTGGGGTTTTTGGGGTTTTTTTTGTTGTTGTTCTTGTTGCAACTTGAAGGTTTGTGACAACCCTGCATTGTCAGACAATGGTTAGGACTTTTTAGCAATGAAGTATTTTTAAATTAAGGTACGTACATTTTTGAGACATAATGCTATCGCACACTTAGTAGACAGATTACAGTATAGTGTAAACCTAACTTTTATGACGCACCGGGGAACCAAAAAATTCATGTGACTCACTTTAATGCTACATTCACTTTATTGCAGGGGTCTGGAACCAAACCCACAATGTCTCCGAGGTCTGCCTGCATAGAACAAACCAAAAAAAAAGCAGTAACAAAGGCACCTTCCAAGTCTCTAGACAGAAAGTCCAAAGCAGTTTTCAAAGAAGGCCACATCAGTCTGAGATGTCAAATCCTAAATTTTAGAACCAGAAAACACTTGGCTCCAAGATCACGTGTATCACTGACTGAGCACGTATGCCTAGTTCTAGAATCACCAAGGCGAATGTATCACCAGTATGTTTTCCAAATACGCGGCACTGGGACCTTCAAGCCCACTGCAGTCAAGCTAGCAGCACCACTGGTGCCGCCCCATAGCCAGGAGACGGCCACGATGCTCTTGATCTCCTCCAACAGCCTCATGCCTTGAGGGCCAAGGACCTTCTGTGGTCCAGACCACAACGGAAAGCCCTAAGTTAGCAGGCTCAAAACTCAGGGCCAACAATGGAAGCAACTCAGGGACTGACTTAAAGCTGCTCTCCCTAAGTTTCAAAACTCTGCTTTTGGACCTATCTCGGCCACCACCCACAGAGAACCCAAGGACCTACAGCCAAACCCACCTTTGGGATTTAACATCTGACCAAAATGGAACCTACTGCCATTACCTGCTTCAGGCTATAAACGGCCCGAACCAGATTTCATCACTCCCTGCATACTGCATGAGTACTCAAGAAAGGACACCTTTTGACAACTGTAAGACAAAAAGCAGCGAGACACCCTGCGGCATAAGTACTGAAGCACTGATACTAAGACAGAGGTGCTGGGAGAATGGAAGAGACACCTCATTCAGGCACAGCTGACTGTACTTGAAACCAGAGAAATGCTACAGATGAAGCAGCAGCGCCATCCCTGGGTTACTAACTGGCTGGCCGGGCAACACCAGGAGCCAGGTCTCCCAATCAAGTCGCCTAACGGCACCAAAAAGCCTACCTCATGACACCCCTGCCACCACTCACAGTGTGCCCCCAACCTGCAGCATGGGCATCACCTGGGGGACACATCAGAAACGAAGATCCTCAGGCCCCACCCAGACCTACTGACTCAGAGCCTACACTTCCACGAGACGTCCCAGTGACAGGTACACACACCCTTCTCCATCTGCTCCCGCCGGCATGGGGATTTTCAACCCTTGGGGGTACATCGGAATCATGAGAGAGCTTCTACGAACACCTCAAACTCTCGCTGACCTGTGGGTGGGGAGGCACTGATGCTGCTATTTAGTTTTAAAAGTTGCCCAAGTGACTAACCTATAGGCAGGGTGAGAATCTGGTTCTAGCATATATTACTCAATTTTCCCAATAAATTTCTGGCTCATGGCGTTCTAGTCGTCTAGTATTCTTGGTCTAGTATGCTTTCTTTCTTTTCTTTTTTTTGGCCACGCCGCTCGGCTTATGGGATCTTAGTTCCCGAACCAAGGACTGAGCCCGGGCCCTGGCAGTAAAAGCGCCAAGTCCTAACCACTGGACCGCCGGGAATTCCCAACAGTCTAGTATTCTTAAACCGCACCTTTTCACATGAGACAAGAAAACACAGGCTATTGTTAAGTCATGTATTTTAAATGTTCCCCCCCGTCTGGAAGGGGAGTAAGAAACGCATCCCCTCCACCTTTTCTTCAGTTCTGGCTTACAGATAAGTACTGAACAAGGCAGGCAGCAGACGTAGCAACGCAGCAACTCTCTGAGCCATTCTAACTGCAGCTGTGAAACCTCTGCAAACTGCAGGAGAGTGAGCTAGCTGCACGCCACCTGTGGCCGTGCTCTGATATAAAAGCACTGTGCTGACCCGTCTAGAATAAGTCCAAATGCAGAGATGGCCCCCTCTGTGGACTTCTGAGCAGTACCTGTTTCTGAATTCTGGAAACTTCTACCATAACTGAGCTCAGGGAAAGTCACATTTGTTACCTTTTAATTGGTTCACCATTTCATTAGAGAAAGCTCAACAAGGCAAGACAAAGTTTGACCATTCCCATTAAAAAAAAAAGACTTTTTCAAGGAAAATGATTAGAAATTATTAGCAACTTGTTAAATACTTGTACAACTAGCAAGGTGGCACAATAGGCCCATTTCAAATTTCAAAAATCAATCAAAACAGAAGACTGCGTGCCAGCGAGCGTGCGCCTGTGTGTAAACGCGCTCATGGGTACGTGTGTACACACACACGCACACTTCACCACTCAGTATCAACTCCTCCACTCTCGCCCCTCGTCCTCACGCTTCTCGCTTGTCCACATCACTGTGAGGTAGAGAAGGGTCTGGAATCTGTTAACAAGCTTCCTGGGGTGAGACAACAGACACTTTACAGGAGACAAAGCGACCCTAAGCTCGGCTGAGGTTCCGCGTGGCAGGCCTTTCCGTGAGGGCCGCTACACGAGGGCGCACGGGGGCTCCAGCTGCAGCCAGGCCTCCCGGGGACCCTGACTCCTCTGAGTTATGGTCACAGAAGGCGCCTTTCCACCCACAATCAACAACTGCTAGACATGCGGTTGAAAGTTCACAAATAAATAATGTCTTCTTCTAAAGTGGGAATGTGCCTCTGCTTACCTGAACTAATTCACTTAGCATATCTACATTTCTGAAGATGGTAAACCAGAACTCTGGAATTCCTTTTGGGTTTGGCTCTTCTGCTGCTGCTGCTTCTTTTTCCGCTATGACTGCTTTATTCTTTATGTCTCCCTAGAAAAATAAGATGCAAAACTGGATACTTATCATGAAGCAACAACTTTACAAATAATTGAATGGCTTAATACAGACCATATTTTCAGAATCCCATGTAAACTTCTATCAAAAACCCTTGCTCTTTGAAACTGCATCTCCAAGACCACTGTGCCCATCACAGTTTCCAACGTCTCTGAGGAACAAAGCATTTAAGGCATTCCAGCCAGATGTAACTCCCGACCAAGGGGAAAAGAGCTGAAGAGCTGATACAATGCCCACCCGACTTGGGGGGCACTTGGGGGGTGGTTATCCTGGGATAACCACCAGAGGGATACTCCAGGATCTCCAGCAACAAGAAACTGCCCCGCAAGCTGCACGTCCAATGATACGGAGACGTCGGGACAGAGGCACCATGCGAAGATCAGGGGGGTGACGAGAAAGGCGATGTAGCCACGAGGAGGGTAGTCTTTTCTAACATCACAGGCCTGACATGGGATTCTTAGGAGGACATGATGACAAGGGGCTTTTTAAGTTAACAGGGGCAGATTTTCCTCGCACAATGAAGAACTGAGTCACAACTATATCGATCCACAGGTATGGCTTCAACTACGCCAGATTCTACATGTTTTTAAAAGATCAGAAAGATGTATAGCTACCAAAACTAACATACACTTAAAAAAACAAAAACAAAAAAACCCCGGAAGTTTATACTATAGGATAGAAAAGCCACTCCCAAATGTAAAATCAGGTCAACAAAGTTCACCTTGTCGTTTTGGGACTTTCCGTGGCACTGGAATGATACCCGTCACCAAAAAAAAGGCTGCAAGCAGGTGATGGACAGGGCACATCACCAAAAGGACCATTTACCAATGTAAAGTGGCGAGATGCACTGGGGCTACTTCACTGTCACTGCTGGTCCCCGAGTGGGATGGCACGGATGTTTCCAGTATGCTCTCCCCACCACAGCCCACCCTCTAGTATCTGCCCTTCTACAGACACAGCTGTGCTCTCCCTTGTGGGTTTTTGCTTTCTCTCGACTAAGACTTTTTCTGATGTTTCAATCTCCACTCCCCTGATCCCTTACCTCACCGCACCACTGTGCAGAGGTGCCACAGACGGCTGAGAAAGGGGGCTGTGTCTGGCTCACCACATTAACTAACAGAACCAAGCTGTCCAGTTTCACTGTCATAAAGAAATCTAAACACCCAACCTAAGGCTGAAGCCGCACCTACTGTTAGGAGCTCTTTTCTTTGTAAAAGAAAACCATCAAATTTCTTTTTTTTCCCCACCAGCCGCGCTGCACGGGTTATCAGTTCCCCAGAGCAGGGATTTAACCCAGGCCACAGCAGTGAAAGTGCAAAATCCTAACCACTAGATCACCACCCCAAACCATCTCATTTCTAATAGCATTGAAACAGAACACAAGTGGCACTCATTAAAAAAAACTTACGGCCAATTTGTCCTCCTCTTCATTCTCACTGTGCCATTCGGATTCTGCGTCTGTCGGCTCAGCATCACCAGTGATGAATTCCCTTCTCTAAGTAAAAACGAGATCTTCTTACCATTACATTCAGTTACTCAGGAACTTGAGAGTAAAGACAGTGAAACTGTAAATAATGTGTATAAAAAGACTGAAAACTGGATGCTTTTATAGCTTAAGATTCTAAGTTTTGGGGCTTAAAGAATAACATTCGGGGAGACATTCAAGATGGCAGAGGAGTAAGACACAGAGATCACCTTCCTCCCCACAAAGACATCAAAAATACATCTACATATGGAACAGCTCCTACTGAACGCTGGCAGAAGACCTCAGACTTCCCAAAAGGCAAGAAGCTCCCCACGTACCTGGGTAGGGCAAAAGAAAAAAGGAAGAACAAAGACAAAAGAATAGGGATGGGACCTGCACCTCGGGGAGGGAGCTGTGAAGGAGGAAAGGTTTCCACACCCTAGGAAGCCCCTTCGTGGGCGGAGACTGCAGGTGGCAGAGGGGGGAAGCTTCAGAGCCATGGAGGAGAGCGCAGCCACAGGGGTGCGGAGGGCAAAGCGGAGAGATTCCCGCACAGAGGATCAGGGCTGACCGGCACTCACCAGCCCAAGTGGCTTGCCTGCTCACCGCCGGACGGGTGGGGGCTTCGGTCAGAGCGCAGGGAGAGGACTGGGGTTGGCTGCATGAACACAGCCTGCAGGGGGCTAATGCACCACAGCTAGCCGGGAGGGAGTCCGAGAAAAAGTCTGGACCTGCCTAAGAGGCAAGAGACCATTGTTTCGGGGTGCGCGAGGAGAGGGGATTCAGAGCACTGCCTAAGCGAGCTCCAGAGACGGCTGCGAGCCGCAGCTATCTGCGGGGACCCCAGAGACGGGCATGGGACGCAAAGGCTGCTGCTGCCACCCAGAAGCCTGTATGCAAGCACAGGTCACTATCCACACCGTCCCTCCCGGGAGCCTGGGCAGCCCGCCACTGTCAGGGTCCTGTGATCCAGGGACAACTTCCCCGGGAGAACACACAGTGTGCCTCAGGCTGTTGTAATGTCACCTCACATTCCGTATCCCTCCCTGTATCCCTCCCTCTACCCAGCCTGAGTGAGCCAGAGCCCCCTAATGAGTGGCTCCTTTAGCCCTGTCCTGTATGAGCGACATGCCCTCAGGCGACCTATATGCAGAAGCGGGGCCTAAACAAAGCTGAACCCCGGGAGCTGTGCGAACAAAGAAGAGAAAGGGAAATCTCTCCCAGCAGCCTCAGGAGCAGCAGATTAAAGCTCCACAATCAACTTGATGCACCCTGCATCTGTGGAATACCTGAACAGACAACAAATCATCCCAAAATTGAGGGGATGGACTTTGGGAGCAACTGTAGACTTGGGGTTTGCTTTCTGCATCTAATTTGTTTCTGGTTTTATGTTTATCTTAGTTTAGTATTTAGAGTTTATTATCATTGGTAGATTTGTTTATTCATTTGGTTGCTGTCTTCCTTCTTTTTTAATATATGTAGATATATATATATATATTTTTTCCTTTTTCTCCTCTTGTGAGTGTGTATGTGCTTCTTTGTGTGATTTTGTCTGTATAGCTTTGCTATTACCATTTGTCCTAGGGTTCTGTCTGTCCTTTTTTTTTTAAAGTACAGATTTTAACGCTTACTATCATTGATGGATTTGTTTTTTGGTTTGGTTGCTCTCTTCTTTCTTGTTTTCTTCTTCTTTTTAAATTAAACATTTTTTAATTTTTAATAATTTAATTTTAATAAATCTCTCTCTCGCTCTGTGTCTCTTTCTTTTTCTTTCTTTTTTTCTCCCTTTTCTTCTGAGCCGTGTGGCTGTCAGGGTCTTGGTGCTCCAGCTGAGTGTCAGACCTGTGCCTCTGAGGTAGGAGAGTTCAGGACACTGGCCCACCAGAGACCTCACGGGCTCACGTAATATCAAACGGCAAAAGCTCTCCCAGAGATCTCCATCTCAACGCTAAGGCCCACCTCCACTCAACGACCAGGAAGCTCCAGTGCTGGACACCCTATGCCAAACAACTAGCCAGACAGGAACGCAACCACACCCATCAGCAGAGAGGCTGCCCCAAATCATAAAAAAGTCACCGACACCCCAAAACACACCACCAGATGCGGTCCTGCCCACCAGAAAGACAAGATCCAGCCTCATCCACCAGAACACAGTCACCAGTCCCCTCCACCAGAAAGTCTACACAGCTCACTGAAGCAACCCTACCCACTGGGGACAGACACCAAAAACAACAGGAACTACGAACCTGCAGCCTGAGAAAAGGAGACCCCAAACACAGTAAGCTAAGCAAAATGAGAAGACAGAGGAATACACAGCAGATGAAGAAGGTAAAAACCCACCAGACCAAACAAATGAAGAGGAAATAGGCAGTCTACCTGAAAAAGAATTCAGAGTAATGATAGTAAAAATGATCCAAAATCTTGGAACTAGAATGGGGAAAATACAAAAAACGTTTAACAAGGAACTAGAAGAACTAAAGAGCAAACAAACACTGATGAACAACACAATAAATGAAATTAAAAATTCTCTAGAAGGAATCAATAGCAGAATAACTGAGGCAGAAGAACGGATAAGTGACCTGGAAGATAAAATAGAGGAAATAGCTACTGCAGAGCAGAACAAAGAAAAAAGAATGAAAAGAATTGAGGACAGTCTCAGAGACCTCTGGGACAACATTAAACGCATCAACATTCGAATTATAGGGGTCGCAGAAGAAGAGAAAAAGAAAGAGACTGAGAAAATATTTGGAGAGATTATAGTTGAAAACTTCCCTAATATGGGGAAGGAAATAGTCAATCAAGTCCAGGAAGTGCAGAGTCCCATACAGGATAAACCCAAGGAGAAACACGCCAAGACACATATTAATCAAACTATCAGAAATTAAATACAAAGAAAAAAATATTAAAAGCAGCAAGGGAAGAACAACAAATAACATACAAGGGAATCCCCATAAGGTTAACAGCTGATCTTTCAGCAGAAACTCTGCAAGCCAGAAGGGAGTGGCAGGACATATTTAAAGTGATGAAAGAGAAAAACCTACAACCAAGATTACTCTTCCCGGCAAGGATCTCATTCAGATTTGACAGAGAAATTAAAACCTTTACAGACAAGCAAAAGCGAAGAGAATTCAGCACCACCAAACCAGCTTTACAACAAATGCTAAAGGAACTTCTCTAGGCAGGAAACACAAGAGAAGGAAAAGACCTACAATAACAAACCCAAAACAATTAAGAAAATGGTAATAGGAACATACATATCGATACCTACCCTTAAATGTAAATGGATTAAATGCTCCAACCAAAAGACACAGACTGGTTGAATGGATATGAAAACAAGACCTGTATACATGCTGTCTACAAGAGACCCACTTCAGACCTAGGGACACATTCAGACTGGAAGTGAGGGGATGGAAAAAGATATTCCATGCAAATGGAAATCAAAAGAAAGCTGGAGTAGCAATTCTCATATCAGACAAAATAGACTTTAAAATAAAGACTATTACAAGAGACAAAGAAGAACACTACATAATGATCAAGGGATCAATCCAAGAAGATATAACAACTGTAAATACTTATGCACCCAACACAGGAGCACCTCAATACATAAGGCAAATGCTAACAGCCATAAAGGGGAAATCGACAGTAACACAATCATAGCAGGGGACTTTAACACCTCACTTTCACCAATTGACAGAAGATCATCCAAAATGAAAATAAATAAGGAAATACAAGCTTTAAATGATACATTAAACAAGATGGACTTGATATTTATAGGACATTCCATCCAAAAACAACAGAATACACTTTCATCTCAAGTGCTCATGGAACATTCTCCAGGATAGATCATATCTTGGGTCACAAATCAAGCCTTGGTAAATTTAAGAAAACTGAAATTATATCAAGTATATTTTCCAACCACAACGCTATGAGACTAGATATCAATTACAGGGAAAAATATGTAAAGAAACCCCAAATACATGGAGGCTAAACAATACGCTACTAAATAACCAAAAGATCACTGAAGAAATCGAAGAGGGAATAAAACAATACGTAGCAACAAATGACAATGAAAACACGACGACCCAAAACCTATGGGATGCAGCAAAAGCAGTTCTAAGAGGGAAGTTTATAGCAATACAATCCTACCTCAAGAAACAAGAAACAGGGCTTCCCTGGTGGCGCAGTGGTTGAGAGTCCGCCTGCCGATGATGCAGGGGACACAGGTTTGTGCCCCAGCTCAGGAAGATCCCACATGCCGCGGAGCGGCTGGGCCAGTGAGCCATGGCCGCTGAGCCTGCGCGTCCGGAGCCTGTGCTCCGCAACGGGAGAGGCCACAACAGCGAGAGGCCCGCGTACCACAAAAAAAAAGAAAAAGAAAAAGAAACAAGAAACATCTCAAATAAACAGCCGAACCTTACACCTAAAGCAGTTAGACAAAGAACAAAAAAACCCCCAAAATTAGCAGAAGGAAAGAAATCATAAAGATCAGATCAGAAATAAATGAAAAAGAAATGAAGGAAACCATAGCAAAGATCAATAAAACTAAAAGCTGGTTCTCTGAGAAGATAAACTTGTAAAACCATTAGCCAGACTCATCAAGAAAAAAAGGGAGAAGACTGAAATCAACAGAATTAGAAATGAAAAAGGAGAACAACAACTGACACTGCAGAATTACAAAGGATCATGAGACATTACTATAAGCAACCATATGCCAATAAAACGGACAACCGGGAAGAAATGGAAACGTTCTTAGAAAAGCACAACCTTCCGAGACTGTACCAGGATGAAATAGAAAATATAAACAGACCAATCACAAGCACTGAAATTGAAACTGTGATTTAAAATCTTCCAACAAACAAAAGCCCAGGACCAGATGGCTTCACATGCAAATTCTATCAAACATTTAGAGAAAAGCTAACACCTATCCTTCTCAAAATCTTCCAAAATATAGCAGAGGGATGAATACTCCCAAACTCATTCTATGAGGCCACCATCACCCTGATACCAAAACCAGACAAACATGTCACAGAGAAAAAAAACTACAGGCCAATATCACTGATGAACATAGATGCAAAAATCCTCAACAAAATACTAGCAAACAATCCAACAGAACATTAAAAGGATCATACACCACGATCAAGTGGGGTTTACCCCAGGGATGCAAGGATTCTTCAATATATGCAAATCAATCAATGTGATAGACCATATTAACAAATTGAAGGAGAAAAACCATATGATCATCTCAATAGATGCAGAAAAAGCTTTCAACAAAATTCAACACCCACTTTTGATAAAAACTCTCCAAAAGCAGGCATAGAGGGAACTTAACTCAACATAATAAAGGCCATATATGACAAACCCACAGCCAACATCATTCTCAATGGTGAAAAACTGAAACCATTTCCTCGAAGATGAGGAAAAAGACAAGGTTGTCCACTCTCACCATTATTCAACATAGCTTTGGAAGTTTTAGCTCCATCAGAGTAGAAAAAGAAATAAAAGGAATCCTAACTGGAAAAGAAGAAGTAAAGCTGTCACTGTTTGCAGATGACGTGATACGATACGTAGAGAATCCAAAAGATGCTACCAGAGAACTACTAGAGCTAATCAATGAATTTGGTAAAGTAGCAGGATACAAAATTAACACACAGAAATCTCTTGCATTCCTATGCACTAGTGATGAAAAATCTGAAAGAGAAATTAAGGAAACACTCCCATTTACCACTGCAACAAAAAGAAGAAAATACCTAGGAATAAACCTATCAAATGAGACAAAAGACCTGTATGCAGAAAACTGTAAGACGATGAAAGAAATTAAAGATGATACAAACAGATGGCGAGATATACTGTGTTCTTGGATTGGAAGAATCAACATTATTAAAATGACTATACTACCCAAAGTAATCTACAGATTCAATGCAATCCCTATCAAACTACCAATGGCATTTTTCACAGAACTAGAACAAAAAATTTCACAATTTGTATGGAAACACAAAAGACCCCAAAGAGCCAAAGCAACCTTGAGAAAGAGAAACGGAGGTGGAGGAATCAGGCTCCCTGGCTTCAGACTATACTACAAAGCTACAGTAATCAAGACAGTATGGTACTGGCACAGAATCAGAAATACAGATCAACGGAACAGGATAGAAAGCCCAAAGGTAAACCCACGCACCTACGGTCACCTTGTTTTTGATAAAGGAGGCAAGAATATACAATGGAGAAAAGACAGCCTCTTCGGTAAGTGGTGCTGGGAAAACTGGACAGCTACATGCAAAAGAATGAAATTAGAACACTCCCTAACACCATACACAAAAATAAACTCAAAATGGATTAAAGACCTAAATGTAAGGACAGACACTATCAAACTCTTATGGGAAAACATAGGCAGAACACTCTACGACATCAATCATAGCAAGATCCTTTTTGACCCACCTCCTAGAGAAATGAAAATAAAAACAAAAATAAAGAAATGGGACCTAATGAAACTTAAAAGCTTTTGCACAGCAAAGGAAAACATAAACAAGATGAAAAGACAACCCTCAGAATGGGAGAAAGTATTTGCAAATGAAGCAACTGACAAAGGATTAATCTCCAAAATTTACAAGCAGTTCATGCAGCTCAATATCAAAAAAAAACAGGCTTCCCTGGTGCGCAGTGGTTGAGAGTCCACCTGCCGATGCAGGGGACATGGGTTCGTGCCCCAGTCCGGGAAGATCCCACATGCCGTGGAGCGGCTGGGCCCGTGAGCCATGGCCGCTGAGCTTGTGCTCCGCAACGGGAGAGGTCACAACAGTGAGAGGCCCGCGTACCGCATAAAAAAACAAAAAAAAACCAACCCAATCCAAAAATGGGCAGAAGACCTAAATAGACATTTCTCCAAAGAAGATATACAGATTGCCAACAAACACATGAAAGGATGCTCAACATCACTAATTATTAGAGAAATGCAAATCAAAACTACAATGAGGTATCACCTCACACCAGTCAAAATGGCCATCACCAAAAAATCTACAAACAATAAATGTGGAGAAAAGGGAACCCTCTTGCACTGTTGGTGGGAATGTAAATTGATACAGTCACTATGGAAAACAGCAAGGAGCTTCCTTAAAAAACTAAAAATAGAATTACCATACGACCCAGCAATCCCACTACCGGGCATATACCCTGAGAAAACCATAATTCAAAGAGTCAGTACCACAATGTTCACTGCAGCTCTATTTACAATAGCCAGGACATGGAAGCAATATAAGTGTCCATCGACAGATGAATGGATAAAGAAGATGTGGCACATTTATACAATGGAATATCACTCAGCCATAAAAAGAAACGAAATTGAGTTATTTGTAGTGAGGTGGATGGACCTAGAGTCTGTCATACAGAGTGAAGTAAGTCAGAAAAACAAATACCGTACACTAACACATATATATGGAATCTAAAAAAAAAAATGGTTCTGAGGAACCTAGGGGCAGGACAGAAATAAAGACGCAGACATAGAGAATGGAGTTGAGGACACTGCGAGGGAGAAGGGTAAGCTGGGACGACGTGAGAGAGTGGCATGGACATATATACACTACGAAATGTAAAACATAGCTAGTGGGAAGCAGCCACATAGCACATGGAGATCAGCTCGGTGCTTTGTGTCCACCTAGAGGGGTGGGATAGGGAGGGGGGGAGGGAGGGAGACGCAAGAGGGAAGAGATATGGGAACATATGTATATGTAAAACTGATTCACTTTGTTATACAGCAGAAACTAACACATCATTGTAAAGCAATTATACTCCAATAAAGATGTCAAAAAAAAAAAAAAGAGTAACATTCAATGATTCACTGGGTACATCTGGATGTTTTGCCTGAAGAACTTTCTGAAATATACTGATTAAGTTTACTAACAGAGTTCCCTACCTTGTCAAAGAGAGGCTGGTATAATGCTGCATACTTTCTTTCCAAGTCATGAACTTCTTCATAGAACTTGGCTTCTATATGAGCACATTTCACCTGAAGTTGTTTCAGTGCGTTGATTCTTCTTTTTACTGCTTTAGGTAAACTAAAAGAGAGGGAATAAAAAATAAAACATCCATATGCCTGCAAAATAAGGCGGCATGCTTATTTTTTACTAAAATAAATTAACATTAACATAGAATTAACACCCGTACCATGAAAAAGAGCTCCTAAAAATCATTAAGGACAAACACCACCTCCCCGCCCCCCCCACCAAAAGCAGGGTGGTGGCAGAGGAGGAAGCTGAAAGATAATTCACAAAAAATACAAATAATGAAACACGGAAGAAAGGTCCAATCTCATGAAATATCCAAAAGAATGTAAATTTAAAAGAACTGCTATCTCTTCCTTACCAAATTGGCAATTAAAAAATAATTCCCAGGGGGACTTTCCTGGCGGTCCAGTGCTTAGGACTCTGCACTGTCACTGCCGAGGGCCTGGTTCAACCCCTGGTCGGGGAAGTAAGATCCCGCAAGCCTCGAGGTGCAGCCAAAAAAATTTTTTTAAATAAAGGAGAGAAGAAAATTTTAGAAATTCCCAGGTTTGATGAGGCTGAGGGCAGAGGCCCTCTAATTGACTCATCTTTCTTAAGGGTAAACAAGAACCTTGAAAATATTCTTTGCATCTACTTCTAAGAATTTATCCTAAGGAAATAACCAAATGTTTATGTGCTAGAGTGACCACTGATGTATTATTTGTAAAAGTGAAAGACTGGGAACAATGACAAGATGAGCAGGATTAAAACAGGGCCTGTCCACAACCGTGTCCTCAAGGAATACTCAGCACCACAGGATGAGCTCCTGCTGACACAGCAAGAGAAAAACCAGAGACGACAGAGACAAGGCGTGCATTCTAGTCTAGTCAGACACGGCAAGGGAAAAACCAGAGACGACAGAGACAAGGCGTGCATTCTAGTCTAGAGTCAGACAACTACCAGCTCCTTAGCCCTTTGATACTTTTTACCTTCTAAGAAACATTTTAGTTTGTATGCCTTACTTTTATAAATCAGAAGGGAAAAAACATTTTAAACCCATTAAAATCATTTGTTTAACCTGAAGTCCTGAGTCACAATCTGGAACAAAGAGCAGACTACTGCGGACTTCCCTGGTGGTGCAGTGGTTAGTTAAGACTCTGCTCTCCCAATGCAGGGGGCCCAGGTTCCATCGCTGGTCAGGAACTAGATCCCACATGCCGCAACTAAGGAGCCCGCCTGCCGCAACTAAGACCCGGTGCAACCAAATAAATTAATTTTTTTAAAAAAAGAGCAGACTCCTGGGCCCCACAAAGACCCACACTATCCCCCTTGGTGGGCCTGGGTCCTGCCCTCTGAGTCCTCCTCCACGTGGGCTGACTCCTCAAGGGCAAGGCTGGCATTAGTCTAATGGTATACAGTACCAGGCAGCTCCCAAGCACAGCACTGTTTAGAAAATACCATCAAGGGGGACTGGTTCCAGAACCCTGTGAATATCAAAACGCATGGATGCTCAAGTCCCTTATATAAAATGGTACAGTGTTTGCACACTAGGCACCTCCTCCCGTACACTATACCTCAGCACTAGATTGCTTACCACACCTAATACAATGTAAATGTTATGTAAATAGTTGCTGGCGTGAGGCAAATTCAAGTTTTGCTTTCTGGAACTTTCTGGAACAGTTTTCCCCCAATATTTTTGATCCGCAGTTGGTTGAATCTGCAAATCTACAACCCAGGGAACCCGTGGATACAGAGGGTCAAGTGTAGTGGAAAAGCCCTGAATCACAAAGGACCCTGTCCTGGTATAATCATACCCACGGCAACCTCAGTTTGGACAAAGGTCCTTCACTACAGACTGCCAACTACAGAAACCGTTCTAGAACTACTGCTAGTTAGAGAACAAGGAAAAAGCAGAGTAAGAATTTAGTAACACTGAATACATTAACATCTGTACTTCTTTTCTACATTAATTACACAACCTAACGTTATTTCCTAACTTTCTAATCTTCCTAATGGAGTAAAAATACAAGGACCTCTAAGCCAACTGAACCCAGATATCCTCTCCAGCCAGCCTCCAGACAGTAAGAGTAACTACACACCATTCTTCTCCCCACAACAGGCACGTCACGTACAGCATGGAACGTGGAACTAATTCTATCGCACAAAACCTTGTTCCCCTCCCCCATTTCCTCTCAGTGAATGCCACCCACCCCATTCACCCAGTTTCTGAAGCCAGAAACTAGAAAGCACCACTTACACTCAGCTCTCCTACCTGCACCCAGCATCACCACACCCCACCTTCCCCACAAGGTCACCCCCCCGAAGAACCCTCTCTACGGGCAGAGCAGACCCCAAGCGTGCCCCCTCTGTGCCCCCTTGTCCCCAGCCCCGCGTGGGCCAGCTAGTGTGTGCGCAGGGTGACTCTCTGAGACGCAGCCGTGCACTGACCGGAGGAGGGAAGCCCGGAGCAGCTGAGGCCCCGAGACGAGCAGTCCAAGGGCCTGGAGGGTGGGCATCCTTACGGTGTTCACTGTGCAGTACAACAAAGACACAGACCTCGTCCAAATAAGCCACGTTTCGCTGTTGCAGGCTCACGTAGGTGAGCCAGGCAGGACTGGGTCTCTTAGCGAACCAGGAGCCACCATGAAGAGAAAGCACTGCCCCATCTGCCTGTACCTCCGCCCCCTGCTGACGCCCCATCTGCCTGTACCTCCGCCCCCTGCTGACGCCCCAGTCCACCTGCTCACGGGACCTGTGAAGGCCTCTCACCCTGCAGGCTGGCACCGTACACTCGCCCATAACTTGACACACCGCACTACCCTGGCCCTCACAGGCCTGTGGCCTCTACCAGGCTCTGACCCCAGCAGTCACCTTCGGGACCCCAGAGCCTGGCTCTCAGCAGGCAAGGTCTACTGAATGAAAAACATACGTATTCCTAGTCTAAGGAACCAGGAGAGGTTTCTTCTTTGCCTCTTAAAGTTGTGTCGTCTCGCTCACAGCACACTTACGTCTCGATGTAGCTCGAAGGAGTGTGGGAGACACTGTCAAGTCGTTCCTGCAAAGCTGCCAAAACTTGAGGATTCTGCATCACCTGGTCTGCGAGCTTTTCTATCAAGAGTTAAAAAGAAACAACATCTGTTTCAAAAACATTTACTTGTAAAGGCATTCGATCCTCCGTGTTAATCACCGAGGGGATGGTTACAAACACACCGGGGGTACCTGGAGAGTTCTGCTCCTCACCTTAGCGGCACAAGCCCCAGTCCCCGCCGAGGACACTGTCACTTGCTAAGTTCAGGCAGTCTACCTCCCTTCTGGAAGCCGAGGACGGGGACAAGGTGCCCGTGGCTCAGGAAATCAGCGCGCACTTGTGCCCCAGCTCAGGAAAGCGCGACTCCCACCAGCTCCCTGGGGGCACCAGACCTTCCAGGCGCTCTCTGCCTCCACCTTCACCCACCTTGCCCTCCTGCTCAAACCCGCCTCCTCCCAGGAGCCCCCGCCCCTCTGCCCTGCGACCTCGACAGCTCACACACACTGTACCGACTCCCGAAGAACAAACACGATGCTGAGAGGGAGGTCAGCTGTGCCGCAGACTGGCTCACACCTGGCTCGCGGCACAGGCTCTGTGTTGAAAAGATTCCCTCTCAGCGACACTGTATGGAAACCCAAACTTAGGGCCCTCGCCCGACTCAAAACGCAGCGCAGACCTAGAGTTCTCCCCCACCTTTTACCTACAATCCCAATCATTAACATGAAGCACCGTGTATGTGTATAAAACATATGTAACTGTGTATATACAAAACTGTATGTAAATACTAAACATATACACAAACACACATCGCTAGTTCTGGCCACTGAAAGGTCTAGAAATAATGGCAGATGGGATTTATATTTTGGTTTTTAAATTTCTGTCCCAACTAAAAGATACAAGCCTCCTTGCATAAATGTAGATTCCAGGTCTGGGGAAAGGAAAGTTCAAGGGAAAATGGACCATCGCCTATGCCACAAAGCTACAGAGAACTCAAAATGGACGGGGACGCAGCAAAAGGACACAGAAGCCAGCTTACAGGGACCCCATTGGCAAATGGGACAGTCTGCACACAAAAAAGAATAACGATGGACAGTGAGGGAAGATGGCGGAGCAGAAGGACGTGCGCTCACTCCCTCCTGCGAGGACACCAGAATCACAACTAACTACTGAACAGTGATCGACAAGAAGACGCTGGAGCTCACCAAAAACACCCATATCCACAGACAAAGGAGAAGCCACTACGAGATGGTAGGAGGGGTGCAATCACAGTAAAATCAAATCCCATAATCGCTGGGTGGGTGACTCACAAACTGGAGAACACTTATACCACAGAAGTCCACCCACTGGAGTGAAGGTTCTGAGCCCCGTCAGGCTTCCCAACCTGGGGGTCCGACAACAGAAGGAGGAATTCCTAGAGAATCAGACTTTGAAGGGTAGCAGGATTTGATTACAGGACTCTGACAGGACTGGGGGAAACAGAGGCTCCACTCTTGGAGGCCACACACAAAGTAGTGTGCGCATCGAGACCCAGGGGAAGGAGCAGTGACCCCAGGGGAGACTGAATCAGACCTACCTGCTAGTGTTGGAGGGTCTCCTGCAGAGGTGGGGGATGGCTGTGGCTCACCAGGGGGACAAGGACACTGGCAGTAGAAGTTCTGGGAAGTACTCCTTGGGGTGAGCCCTCCCAGAGTCCACCATTAGCCGCACCAAAGAGCCTGGGTAGGCTCCAGTGCTGGGTCTCCTGAGGCCAAACAACCAACAGGAGGGAACCCAGCCCAACCCATCAGCAAACAAGCGGATTAAAGTTTTACTGAGCTCTGCCCACCAGAGCAACACCCAGCTATACCCACCACCAGTCCCTCCCATCAGGAAACTGGCACAAGCCTCTTAGATAGCCTCATCCACCAGAGGGCAGACAGCAGAAGCAAGAAGAACTACAATCCTGCAGCCTGTGGAACAAAAACCACATTCACAGAAAGACAGACAAGATGAAAAGGCAGAGGGCTATGTACCAGATGAAGGAACAAGATAAAACCCCAGAAAAACAACTAAATGAAGTGGAGATAGGCAACCTTCCAGAAAAAGAATTCAGAATAATGATAGTGAAGATGATCCAGGACCTCGGAAAAAGAATGGAGGCAAAGATCGAGGAGATGCAAGAAATGTTTAACAAAGATCTAGAACAATTAAAGAACAAACAAACAGAGATGAACAACACCATAACTGAAACGAAAACTACACTAGAAGGAATCAACAGCAGAATAACTGAGGCAGAAGAACGGATAAGTGACCTGGAAGACAGAATGGTGGAATTCACTGCTGCGGAACAGAATAAAGAAAAAAGAATGAAAAGAAATGAAGACTGCCTAGGAGACCTCTGGGACAACACTAAAAGCAACAACATTCGCATTATAGGCGTCCCAGAAGGAGAAGAGAGAGAGAAAGGACCCGAGAAAATATTTGAAGAGATTATAGTCGAAAACTTCCCGAACATGGGAAAGGAAATAGCCACCGAAGTCCAGGAAGCACAGAGGGTCCCATACAGGATAAACCCAAGGAGAAATATGCCGAGACACATGGTAATCAAATTGGTAAAAATTAAAGACAAAAAAAATTGATTGAAAGCAGCAAGGGAAAAACGACAAATAACATACAAGGAAAC